CGAGGCGTTGAGCACGGGACAGATCCCCGGGCTGAGACCTTGGCAGGGGGTGGGGAGAGGGGGGTGTGGGTGGGAACACACAAAGGGGCCCTGCTGGTGGGGGAATGAGGGCCAAAAAAAAAAAAAATAAAGTCCATAGTTAAACCCCGAATCACTGAGGCAAAGAGATGCCAGGTTGATCCTCAGCGAAGCCCAGGTGGGTGCAGCCAGTCCTGCAGAGATTCCCTATACAGATCCCATAGACACCCCCTTTCCCCCAATCCCAGACCCACTAGGATCCTGTAGAGACCCCATAGGTACTCCTAGACCTGCAGGACCTTACAGAGACCCTGTAAGTACCCTGAGACTCATAGGGATCCTATAGAGACCCTCCACCTCCCCAGGATACAAGGACACCACAGGAAAACCCAAACGTGCAGAGATCCTATAGCGACCCTATACCCAATAGGGACCCTATAGAGACCCTAACAGCAGGGTCCCCTGCTGGACTCACCAGGATCCTATAGGCACACCTGAACCTGCAGGGATCCTAGACAGTGTTTATTGCAGTGCTGGAGATGTGTGTGTGTTGCTGTTGGCCAGGTGGTGGTGGGGTGGGCAGCAGGGGGTGTGTGTGTGTGTTCTCCCCCTCCCCCCGTTTCCCGATACCCCTTGCAAGTGCTGCTGTCACGGCAACGGAGGTAAGTGCTGGCTGCCTCTTGTTGCCATGGTACCCGGCTGGCTGCGGGGACACCCCCCTAGCATCCCTGGAAAGGGGCTGGGACAGGACCCCCAAACCAACTCGGGGGACAGAAGTGTGTGGGGGGGGCGTTAAGGCCAGCCGGTCGCTGCGGGAGCTGGAGGAAGCCCTCTTCTGCCAGACCCGGAGCCACCCCACCAGCTGGGATTCCTACTGGGAGCGCAACGAGCCCCTGCGCGAGGCGGACGAGGCGGCGGTGCCGGTTCTGTGCCTCTGCAGCACCGACGACCCCGTCCGCGGCCCCCCGGTCCCCAGCCTGCCCCTCGAGCTCTTCCCTCCCAGCCCCTACTTCTTCCTGCTGCTGACCCCCCGTGGGGGACACTGCGGGTTCCCCCGCTGCGGATCGGGGCACTGCTGGGGCCACGAGGCCGTGCTGGAATACTTCAGGGCCACGGGTGAGTTCCTGGGGGCAGAGGAGAGGAGGAAGGGGCTGCTGCGGCCCCGCAGGTGTGGGGGGCCCATTGTTGAGCCCCCCGTCTTCACCTGGCAGAGATCCTACACCCGGTAGCCCCCAAGCACCAGGGGGGCTGCTCAGAAAGGCAGGCAGACACTCCGTGTACTAAAATTACTTTATTACAGTTGATTTTTTTTTTTTTTTAACATTTCCTTTGCTATGATACAAAGGATACTTACAAACAAAATATTACATATGACCTTATTTTTTTTCTCTTCTCTTATTTTCTGACAACTTGGTAACAGCTTTAAATGCACAATCTATACAATTAATACAGGTTATATATGAGCTATAATGTATGTTGACCAGAAGAATACCAGAATACTGACAATATACTGTACATTAAGCCTTACCAGTTAGTGCTCGTGGCATTTTCTACAAGAAGGAAAACGCACACCTGTAGATTCACTCATACCAGCTGGTGCTACCAGACATGGAAGCAGGAAGGAGTTTAATTCCTCTAGTTAAATCCTCTGCGGCCCATCACCATGGTGCTGGGCCTGGAAACCTCAGACCAGTGTTCATAGTAAAACAGCAGATATGTGTGTGTTTCATTTTTCTAACTAACGTGCTGCGGCACAAATCCGGGCTCTGCTGACCCCCGAGGGTGCCCCAGAGCAGTCAGCCATGGCGCTGGGGCCGGGTGCTGGGTGAGCTCTTGTTGGTGAGCTGGATCTCCTTAGGGAGGGAGATAGGAGGAAGAGGAGGAGGAAAGGAAAAGCAGCAACAGCTTTGCTATCAGCAGTGGGCAGCTCTCGGGTGCAGCGCACGGGCCGGCGGGCACCGAGGGAGGGAGAGCAAAGCCCCCCGGGACGTCACCCCCCGGCACAGCACGTGGAGATGGTGCCCAGCAAAACCTCTTCAGGGTTGGGCAGCTGCCCTGAGGGGGGACCTGCTCACCAGGAAAAGGTTTGCTTTTGTTTCACAGCCAAAGCTCAAGTTGTGTGGCTACAGGTGTGCACTTCCCCTCCTCCTGCCGTGGTCGATACCGGACTGATAAGGTTATATTTTTGTGGTTTGTTTTTTTTTTTTTTTTTTATTTTTTTTTTTTTTAAAAACAAACAAGAGAAGAC